GGGCATGCCTTGTTGAGGTCTGTGTAGTCTACGCACATCCTCCAGGTATCACCCTTCGGAGCCAGGACTACATTGGCCAGCCATTCAGGGTAGTTTACTTCCCTGATATGACCTACCTCAAGTAGGTCCTTAACCTCCTTCTTTACAAAATCTCTCCTATCACTTGCCAAAAATCTCTTCTTCTGTCTTACAGGCCTAGACCCCTCAAGAACAGAGAGACGATGGCAAATGACTGACCGGTCAATCCCGGGCATATCAGCAACACTCCAGGCAAATAATGATTTATACCTGGTCAACACCTGGACAATCTCAGTCCTTAGCTCTTCTTGAAGGTCAGCCCCAATTTTGACCTTCCTCTCAGGATTGGAGGCATCAATCTGGATCTCCTCCGTGTTTGCATCCGGCTCGATCCTAGCCTTCTCCTCACCCTTGTCTACCTGCTGGGAGACCAATTCAATTTGTTCGAACTGGCGGGTCATCTTCTTGACTGCTTTCATTTCAGCCTAACTCAAAAAATAAAAAATGGACTTTTCTTTCTTGAATCCAAACTCAATTTGAGGTTCCACTTTTTTTTTGATAATGCTAAAAACACACCATCTACACCCCCATGCATGACAATACACAAATAGTTTTATACCTACACAGACGATAATCGTCTATGAAGGCGTGGGTGTGGAAACTGTAGCACGGTCCTTTTTTTAATACAAAGTTTTCCCCTACCAATATAAGACTCAACATTTGGACGAACACGATACTAATTTTGATAATAAAATATTAAATTATTGCATGCAAGCAAATCATGATGACCTCCTCTTGACTAAATTGTTGTTCTCACTTTTTCACAACCATGATTTTATAGACACTGTATTTTGTAAAATCTTAGAAATGAATATAAATATACATGAATGGATACAATAACATTCTTTAATGAGTAATAATATTAACCACAAAATACAATTTATTGAAGTAACGTATGGTGGTCCTTTGGAGCCGGTGGGCGTTGCGCAATTGACAAGACAAGGGGTGCCAAGGTGGGGAGACCCGATCGAGTTCGATTACTTGCAACTCGTTGGAGGCAACTACGCTAAAGATAGGGCTTCTGCAAGTACTAGGTGGAGGCTCGACTCTTTGACACAAATCTGCGATTAAAGTCTAATTTATCTCCTCTCAGTGACCGTCTGATCGAATCTGAAGGGACTCTCGGAAATGTGGCTCATTTTTTCTGGATGTCATTAGAGCAAGTATATGGAGTTAAATTAACTTGGCTTCAAAGCCTTGTCGGGTTCCCCAAAGGGTATTGGACCACATTGTATTTGGTTGGAGGGTGTTCTTTTGGGACATCAATATCTTTAAAGTCACATTTTTGGGCTCATATTTGTCTGGCTTCTAGATAGATTTAATCATGCCCTTGGATACCTAACACTTATAACCCCACATAAAAATTTGAGAAAGATTTGTTTCAAACCACATTTTCAAGTACTGTTTTGGATATTTTTAATTTTAATATCCTGTTTAAAATTTTAAAAATAAAAGTTGTCGTCACATAATATTTTCAAAATGGACATTTTCTATTGTGCTATAACACGTAAATTGTGCGAATACACAAGTCGTAAAGGTCGGATTTATGACTTGTAAGTGCGTCTTATCTATACTATATTTAAAAAGAGGAGAATTCCTCATTGCATTTTCCCGCCTAAAAGTTTCAGTCACAAAAGGTAAGTGCTAAAACTTGATATGGTAAGAGCATCTCCAACCACACTTGCTAAACATGGCTTGCTAAAGTCATTTTTTAGCATGTGAATAGTGGTATAGCAAGTCATTTTAGATTGTCATCTCCAACCTTCAATTGCTATAATTTAGCTAACAGTTATATTATATTGCTTTCATTATTATAATACTCTTTATAATAATTATTCAATTATTATTTTATATTATAAAAATTAAGCAATCAGTATGTAATTTAAAAATAATAATTTCAAAAAATAATATGGAGTAATATTTTACTTTAAAGAAAATAATAAAATTTACTTAGCATTATTTTAAATATTTAATAAATTCTAATTAAAGATTAGAGAGAAAAACTTTGCAAAAAGTAAAAAATTAGAGAGTAGAAGTAACCAAATATTTTGAGAATGGAAATGAGAAAAAAATCAAATATTTAATTAATATCATGGTTTGCTACATTTTGAGAGGCTTGCTATATATAGCAAGCCAAAGTTAGAATTTACCAAGGGTGCTATAATATAGCAACACCCTTGGAGCACAAAAATTGAAATAGATTGCCAAATAATGACATTTAAGAAGCCAAAACTCAATGGTTGGAGATGCTCTAAGTGCAAAATGATAATGTACTCGTTCGTGTATAATTTAATACTCCATAGTTTAATATGTATGTGCCGTGTATAAGGTGATTTCATAATTATTTAGTCTCTCACTTTTCTTTTATAGTTGTTGTTAATTATTAATTATTATGGTACCGTGGAATAATAATAATAATAATAATAATAATAATAATAATAATAATAATAATAATAATAATAATAATAATAATAATAATAATAATAAACGTAATAATAATAATAATAATAATAAATGCAATAATAATAATAGAAAAGGTAACATGTGAAACTTTAATAATAATATGATAATAATATGGTACCGTGTAATAATAAAAATAATAGATATAACAAATGTAATAATTATTATAGGTACTGTGTATAGTAAAAAAAGGAACATGTGAAACTTTAATTATTAATTATTAATAAGGTAATTTCATACCTTATAATTTTTGGTACCGTGTATAATAAAAAAGGTAACATGTGAAAGAATAATAATAATATGGTAATAATATGCTACCGTATAATAATACTAATAAAAGTAAACCTAATAATAATAATAATAATAATAATAATAATAATAATAGTAGTAGTAGTAGTAGTAATAATAATAATTTTGTGGACACATATTGTGGAAAAGGTACCCTTAAAAAGGACTACGAGGGTAATATTTGATAATAGAGGACTAAATATGGAAATTCCCTCTGTTATAAAGGACCAATTATGGAATTTACTCGAAATTTAAAGTGATTCATTAGAAGTGATACATTAAAATTAAATTAAAAATATAATAAAATTTATACTCCGTACATTGAATAATTAATGTTTACAATTAAAAAAATTTAAAACTTTTTTAACACTTATTTTAATGAGAATGATTAAATAAAAACATAAAATACAATTGAATAATACAAACTTACAAAAACTCAAAATAAAAATAAAAAAGAATTTAAAAAACAGAAAAACTGAAATAAAAATTCAAAAAAAAACAAAATTTAAATACTGAAAAACAATTAAGAACTAAAAAAGAAAAGGAGTAACAAAATAAAGAAAAAATAAAGAAGCAACAAAAAGAGAAAGAAGAAAGGAAAGATACGAAAAAGCAATCCCCCATTCCCACATTGGGAGGGGTGCTCCGTTTTTTCAGTTATTTTTTTTAAAATATTAATAAATAATTAACAGTAAATAAATAAATAAATACTCCTTAACTATAAAGTTATTTTAAAATGATTTCTTAAAAATTTATTTAAAAATTATTTTAAATTATCTTGACTCCTTAAAATGTTATGCTCCGTGGGGAAAAAATTGTTTTAATGAAGCATTGTAATTTGGACACATATGTGATGAAACCAACCATATGCCATAATCGAATCGATTCAATGGAATTAGACCGTTAGATTCAAATTTGAAATCCCCCAATAAATCTTCTCGTCTTCTTCCTATCTCTACCAATAAGAAGAAGCCAAGAAAGTTGAGTTCTTGCCACCGTTTCCGATTCACCGGAAACCATGAAAAACACCCCAACAACGCCGACAACATCCTCGAATTCGTCATCTACCACCGTGGAATCTGAGGCCAGAGAGAGCTGTTATTTCCCGGGATGTAGGAAAGACGCCAACTGCAACTGCCGCATATGCATCGCCAGCATGAGCGCCGCCTTCGATTTGATGACGGAAAACGTCCAGAGAAGCACTCTCACTAAGATCTCCGCCGTGAAACGCCGCCACCTCCCGAGAAGCCCTGTTCGGTTCAACTCTTCCAGCTTTTCAACCCCCGATTCCTGTTCGGGTAAATCCGGGTCCTTTTCCTTGGAATTGGACTCGGGTTCCGGGTTGAGAGTTCATGATACAAAGAAGATGAAGGAGAAGAGTTTAGGGTTTGGGGTTCTGATGATGAGGCTTCTGTTTGGATTGGGATTGGTTCTCTGGTTTGAATTTGGGGTTTCTCCGATGCTTTTTGGGATTTTGGGTCCTGAACTTTCGCCCGAATTCGTTACGAATCTGGGAGAAAAATCTCTGGGCTTTAATGATTTCAAGGAAAGATTGAATTTTTTAAAGAGTGAAATGCAAAGCTTGGTTGAGGAAGAGGTATCAAATTGCAGCTCTGCTAATTCCATGTGGAAGGTTGATCAGGTGTGCCTTTTTTCTTGATAAAACTTCAAGAAAAAAAAAGATCATTTTTTTTGTTATTCTCAAATGCCATTTGTTAGATTCTTATTTTGTTATTAATTACAGAGTAATAAATCTGTTTTTTTTAAGGAGGGGTTGATTTTGAATTCAAGATGTACCTTGTACAAGTCCCTCACTGAGGAAGTGGCCATTTGGGGATGGCCACTTCAGACTGCTGGATTTCTCACTGCAGCATATTGCTCAAGATCTTTCACTCTCTTATCAGGAAGATTGACAGAGGTGGGATTTCATATTACTTTACACTGTAAAATAGATAAATAAATAAAAATTTGTGATATCCAAACATACCCTTGTATCATCTTCTTCATGAATCATGATATTCTTTTCTGCAATGACCAGTGGAAGAATGGAGAAATGGGGTATTCGATTCGAAGCGTTAACAGTTCGTGGACACAAGGAAGATGGAGTTCATCAGCAGTTCAGCTAGATCCCAACACATGGGTTCTGGAATACAGTGAGTTCCCTATAAGGGAAAATACAAAACTGGTTTCTGCATTTCTTGAATTTCTCAAGTTCAAGATTGCAAAAGTGTTGAAAAGGTTAGAAAGAAAGTTTTGGCTTTCATCTCTTGTCACGCGTAGCCATGTCCATGATCTCGGAGCACGGAGTTTCAGAGTCCCAACTTAGGCCTCGTGAGAAGCTTTTTTTTCTTCTTCTTCTTTCTTTCAATCTTTCTTTAGCATTGATTTTGGTATGGTATAATTTGCATATCTGTTAAGTGCTTCAAGTCCAACATGAAGTTGTATGGTACAAAAGAGTACTATGTATTTTGGAAGCATTGAATGTGTATAATGAGACAGATGATGTATAGCTAGACATTCTTTTGGGGTTAATTGTAATCAATATTTTCTTCGATGAGAGGGCGTGTATTATAGCGCTCGAGACCCTCCGATTAGTGTGGGTCCCGTGGAATTGACGATTAGAGGACTCTTCAGCTCCTTTGCTCCATGGAACATGCTGGGTCTAGATGATCACGATATGATCATCTCTCCCCCTAAAGAAAGAATTGAATTTAATATACTTTAGAGCGTTCACTCCAGTGAATAAATTTAGCTCGCATGTAAATTTTTTGCATTCCGCTTGAGAGTTTTGATAGTCATTCACGCGGACAATTTTTTTTTGTCACGCAAAGCATGGGAAAAAAAGATGGAGATAGAGCTTGGCATGTGAGTGATTCGCAGGGAAAAAAGTTTTTCATAACAATGGGAGTGCAACGGAAAAAATTACACAATAACAATGAGGAAAAAGATGATGTGGGCGAGAAAAAAAGTGTAGAAAGAGATTGGTAAGGATTTTTTTCCTCAAAAGGCTCTCTTAGCAAACGTTTTTATGATTTTTGCCTCAAAAAATTCAAGACATGATTAAATTTATGGCATGATATGTGTATTAACTTAAATTTAATGTGATGGCGGACTCATCTGTGGAGAGTACAAAGACAATGAACATTTTATTTGTTCATTTCCTTTGGTGAGCTCACTTCAACCTTTTTTTTTCAATCTTCCTTCTAAAAAAGAATTAAGGATTCGTTTCATACACGAAATTAAGGATCCATTTGATACACGAGATTGATAAAATCGGAATTGAATTGTAAATAAAATTCTCTTGAGTTGAATGAATGGAATTAAATTCTCCGATTTCAATTCATTTTTTGCACTATTATATCCAATTTCACATATTTTTTGTGTTACCAAATAACATAATTGTAATTGAAGTCCTCAATTCCAAATTTTAATGCTAAGGCTTGAATTCCGAGTGCCAAATAGAGCATAAATTTACTTTAACAAATTCTTTATGGACTTTTTCTCAAAAATGGAGTAATTTAACATGAATATAGGTATTGGTTTTTCAAAAATGAACAAATTGGTCGTTGACCTGTTCCAGAATCCTTTTGTCAAATCCCAACGCTATAAGATGAACCTAAGCTAAATTAATGTGATAGTGGACTCAATTACACGAATACAAAGGGGAAAAAGCTTCTTATTTGCGGTACACTTTAATAAGATTTTTATTTATTTGTGAGTAAAATTCCATAAATGGCTGCCAATGATATTGTAGGTTTTCATACTTAGTCCCTAATTATAAGACATTTCATAAAAAGTCCTAAATATCTAAAAACTATTTTACAAATAGTCCTTTCAAAATAGGACTATTTTGAGAATTCACTCAAAATATTTTGTCATACAAGTATTTGGTAAAAAAGACTATTTGTGAAATAATTTTTAAAAATTGAAGACTATTTATTAAATATCTTACAATTGAGAATTAAATATGAAAAAGCACATATAAATAGAGACCGTTTATGGAATTTACTCTTTATTTGTAGACTGTTACATGGATTTAAGATCCATAATAGTAGAAGTTAACATGTGGACTAAAGATTTTCAATTGGTTAATCAAATACTCCCCCAATTTCAAATTAATTTTTTTAAACAATAAAGTCATGTTTTGTTCATCTGATCTTATTGATTCTAACTTAATTGTAATAAGTTTTGACCTAATCTGATAAGATTTAAATGTAATTATATTCTAAGCTATTTTTATCTAAAATCGCCTAATCTGATTCCAATAAGAATAAGTAATTAGTAAAAAATAAGTTGAGGAGATAGTAGTATACTCCCTCCGTCAGAATTTTAAGTTCCCAGTTTGACTTTTGCTCATTTTTAATATGTGTTGACTTTGAATGTAGTTTGTCTAAAATACCCTTGGTACCCAATGCCTGATTTGAAGGCTTGCAACTGCCCAGCCTCCAATTCCCGATTGGGCCACGGCCACACCATGGCCACCCCAACTCTCACTACCACCAACCCACCACCGCTCCCACCGCCGCAGCCTATAGTCACCGTCGGTCCACCATCTTCGTTAGACCCCACCACCATCAATCCAGCCCCACCATCACCGCTAACCCCCCCACCATCGTCACCGCCAACTCCATTGCCGCCAACCCTCGCCACCATCACCCAACTCCACCGTCATCGCCAGCCCTACCATCGCCCCAAACTGTCACCATCGTCATAAAGAATAAAATGATGATGATAATCAAAGCGTAGATCTGCATAGATCTACCACAGATCTAAGAAGACAATTAGAGGAATGAAGAAGAAAAAAAGAAAAAGAAAGGAGTAGGAGCTAATTTTGGAGAGAGAAGGAATAGAAAAGAAGGGGGATTCAGTAGAGAAGAAGAAGAAGAACGAGAGAAGAAGAAGAGGAAGGAGGAAGAGAGAGAAGAAAAGGAAGATAGATTGGTAAGGTTGGGCGATGGAAGAAAGAGCCAGGAGAAAAGATAAGGGGGTGTGTGGGGAGGGTATTTTAGGAAGAGTGGGTAAAAAAACGTATACTCGGAACTTTATTTCCGGACGGAAAAAGGAATAGACTGGGAACTTAAAATCCGGACGGAGGGAGTATTATTTTTCACGAATCAATGTGTTTATATCTTAATTTTTGTCCATCTTACTCCATCCGTCCCAATTTATAATCTGTTTCAATTCACGATGTTTGACAAAAATTATTTTCAAATCATTTTATATGAAAATGATGTAGAATTAAAAAATAAAAAATAATATTACTCCGTAAATTACTACATCAAAAGATCTACAAAACTAGTGGTGACATGACAATTTTATTTTATTAAATAACTACCAAAAAAGAGAAAGAAAGTGACTAAAGTTTGATCCTATGAATAGCAAACAACCAAACAACGTCAAAGCATCCAAAGTTCAGCTCAAATTGGACCCATAGTAAAAAAAAGAACAAAAAAAATACACAAGGTTATCCAATGGTACCATTGGAATTGCCACTTTATTAAGCAAGGAGGGTAATGATACTTACATACTCTCTAGTAGTACCCGATGGTGCGTGCTTCTCTAGCATTACTAGAAGAAGAAAAAAATAAGTGTGGGGAAAAAAGCATTTCAGGGGAGTTGAGGAAATAATAATAATAATAATATTATTATTGTTATTATTATTATTATTATTATTATTAACAACAACAACGACAACAATAACAATATTAATAATAATAACTACATGTGTTACCTATTGTTGAAATAAAACTCAGAAAAGAGACTCAGGTCTCAAAGGTCATGTTCTCTGCCTCATGCCGAACGGATTCAAAGAGAACGGACGAAAGGTAACGCTCTCCAAAGCTTGGGAAAACAACCTGCACAGCATGACAAATGATCTCTCTTAAACCTCAGACCAAACAAAATCTGTTACCTGTCAGATCCTGAGTTATAGACTTGTAATGGCTTCAGTCTAACGAGTCTACAATGCTCATAACACAGCATTTTTTGGGGGGGATGTGGTGTGGTTTCTTGTTTTTAGTTGTATTTTTATATCGGGACGGTTCTCATCACATTGCCCGGCAGTATTATGGTTTTGGTAGTATTATGACCCTTTTTATATTTATAGTTTTGGTAGTATTATGGTGCCGAATTCATAAGCAATATTTAAGGGCCTGTTTGGCTGGAGGGGTTTGCATGGGACAGCTTGGTCTATAAATGGTAACTAGAATGTTTCTAAAAACAAATAAAAGGTGGCTAGAATGGCATATAGTCACATATTATGAGGAGTTTAATTTTATACAATACCAAATATCACATACGGTGTCCTACATATAAAGCTAAAAACCAAGTCCTACAAAGCCTTTCCCTCAAAACTACTCTAAAATCCTCTACCAGAACAGAATCTAAAGGACGCAGATTTTTTGTTAAAATGGTGAATTAGTAAGTAAAAATCTTAAAAATTGGAACCCAAGTGAAATGTGAAATAAATCATGGAATAAAAAATTGGAATCGAAGTGAAATGTGAAGTAAAACATGGAATCAAAGTGAAATTTGAGTAAAAAATGGAATCAAACTATGTAGTTATAACATTTGGAGTATAATATACAGAGCAATTGTTTTTTGCTAACTTAGGTCACGTTCCGTTCAACTTATTTTTTAGTTTATTACTTTATTCTTATTAAATTCAGATCACACCAGATCAAAAACATCTTTAAATATACCTACAATCAAATCAAATCAGATCTTCAAAAAATCATATCACATCAAATCAAACAAACGGAACGCAACCTTAAGAGGTCCCAAGTCCGCCTTGTCTACATGGGATACCACAAACCATTTTGAGTGTGTTGAGAATTAGACATGTTTATGTTTTGGTGTACTGTTTGGCATGATAGCTTAAAGATGAAGGAGAAATTGGTGTTAAGTTGCCCTGTTTTAGTGTCAAGTACACCAAATACGGATTTTTTGTTGAAGATGACCTAATGCAATTGTATGTACCTTCTGATGATAGTTGACTTAGAATCTTAGACTATTGTTAAGAAGTGAAGGAAAAAAGCACATACAACAATGAGTTTCCCGGCATTCTCTGGCCTCTTTGCAACTTTAATTGCAGCTGCTGCAGCAGCACCTGATGATATTCCCACCTGCAGTTGATATTCTCGTGAAATAATTAAGCTGCAAATACCGTGAGATTGGAGGACAAACGGATACGACTTTTTGAAACACAGTAAGAACTTACCAGCAATCCCTCTTTCACAGCTAGCTGCTTTGCAGTTTGAATGGCCTCATCACTCGAAATCTGATTTGTAGCATCACAATAAACTATTTTAGTGAAAAGATGATCAACACATTTGTTGAGTATCCCCCATAAGACAAAATGTAAGTTTGAGGTAAACTATCACAACTCTCGATCATAGTTTTCAGAACCAAAGCGGTCAAGATACTCGTTCATTGGTCGAACTAGTGGTTTAAACATATTTTTTGAAAATAATATATATATATATATATATATATATATAATGAGATCTTACGAAAGAAATAAGAATGCATATGGTGCTTTAGAATGTGAGATCTAAGGGCCATAAAAATTTGAAATATAAGAAAAACTCAGGAAAAATGTGGTGGCAATTTTATAATTAATTTGAACTTTGTAAAATGCACTACCTGCTTTGAAAAATGCACCATGATGAACTACCTATTTTGTAAAATGCACCATGGCGAACAAAAAATGCATCATTCTTATTTCTTTCACCAAGGTCCATTCTTACGGGAACCGGCATATATATATATATATATATATATATATATCTATATATATATATATATATATATATATATATATATATATATATGGGATTGACTCCAGTGAGATGACACCTTACGGTGCGATGACAGACTTCAGTCAAATGACGCAAAGCTCACCACACTACAATACAAAACTCACCAATGGACAATGCAAAGCTCACCTGAAAATAAAGCAAAGCTCACCACTTTGAACCCCACAACTCACCTTTTTTTAATTTAGAAAATTAAAAAATTAATTAAAAATAAAATAGAAACACCGGTCAACCACCGGTCAACGGCGGCCACAGGCGGCGGTGACCGGAGGCGGCCGGAGTACGGCGGCGGCGGCGACCGGAGACTGGCGCAGGCGGCGGTGACTGGCAACCAGCGGCGGGCGGCGGCGGTCAATGCTGGAGTCAACGGTCAAAGTCTAGTCAGCACCCCTTCCTTTGATTTTATTTTTTCAAAAAAAATTCAAAGTGTTAAAAAAAATATGGTGAGTTTTGCCTTACAGTTTGGTGAGCTTTGTAGTTGTGCTTTGTGAGCTTTGCAGTGAGCAGTGGTGAGTTTTGCGTCATCTGACCGAAGCATGTCATCGCACCATAAGGTGTCATCTCACTGGAGTCAATCCCTATATATATATATATATATACACACACGTGTGCGCGCTCCCTCCATCCAAATATTATCTTCACGTTCACTATTCAAAGGGCCACACTTTATTCACTCTGTTAGCCTATCTGTTTTCGTTGCCCATTTGATAAAATAATATAGTTATATCACCCCTATTTTTTTAGATTTTTTGATGTGGTTTTTATACATGTAATTTTTCGTTTTTAATTTCACACCATTTTCATATAAAGGATTTGAAAATATCTAAAATCAAACATCTAACGCACAACGGGAAGATAATTTTTGGATGAAGTGTGTGTGTGTATATATATATATATATATAGTGTGTGTGTGTGTATGTATGTATACACACACACACATTAGTAATACCCTTTCGTCTATACATAAAAACTTAGGATGTCTAATTGAAGTTACAATCAATTTAATTTATTTGATTAGTGGTATTATATTTAAAAATAAAATTTGTACGCTCAAATGTACATAAAAGAAATCCTACTCCGTATAAAATAAGAGATGTCGTTATTTGTTCATATATTTTGTCCAATATTTTTCAAAAATATTCAAATGAATTTTATTTCAAGACACGTACTCCGTATTAGTATCAATTATATTTTTAAGCATTTGAATCCTAGTTATAACATCATATTTTTCAAAGTATAAAACAAAAAGAAATCCTTTCATAAATATTTATTCTTTTAATTACGGAGTATATAATATATACTACTTTGACCAAGCATGTACTCCAAAAACATTCTTGCTTAGTTGGTGGATATCATCACATGATATGTAGGAGCTCTAAAGTTTGAATCCTTGTGAGTTGTGGCGGTATGATATATTTGGCCAATTTTTTCCAAAAAAAGAAAAACTGGTTTGACCGGCAGGTTCTTACCAACGAGTTCACACTGGTTCAAACTGGTTCACAGCTCAAAGCGGTAAAAGGAGCTGGACCAGACTGGTTCGCGTGTTCCCAGTCCGAACCAGCCGGTCTGGTTTTAAAAACTATGCTCTCAATCCTTACACTTTTTTAGCTGCTTGGCATGTAGTAGGTATCCGGATCTCTAGAGGATCCTTTTGGGGTAAATTAGACCCAATTACATGGAACTGAGGTCCAATCTAATGGTGCCTGTAGGGAACCTATCCACTTGGGCTGAGAGCCAAAGAGTGTCTATTGAAGTAAGTGTATTGGTTTTGAACTAGGTTTTAGTATAACATATTAATATATAAGTCAGACGTAAACTTCATCTCTTTATAATCTTCTTGGGTAGAGTTAGACCAAATTTAGCACAATATTATGGGGCACCCACCCACTCATGGCGCGCGTGTGCGTGTTTGGGTAACTCCCCCCCCCCCAAAAAAAAGCTTTTGAAGGACTAAGGTTGGGTGTTACTGTACATATTATATACTCCCTCCGTCCCGTGAAACATGGGACATTTCTTTTTTTATCCGTCCCACAAAACACTTCTCATTTCTATTAAAAAGTCACTTTTACCCCTTACTTTTTCATACCCTAACTATCACATCATACCTTTTTACTAATAATCTATTCATCAAATCATACTTTTACCCATCACATCAAAGGACATTTTTGGAAATTCAATACCAAAATACACTCCCTTAAATCCCTCCTAAAAAGCAAATGTCCCATGTTTCACGGGACGGAGGAAGTATTACATTAGTTGTCTTATGGATTGGAGCCTGGTACGTAAGTGTTCTTTATAACATTGCTAGCAGCATTAAAAAAACATCACTGTATCTTACTTGAATAACTTCATCGAGAAGATCGGCTTCTAGGACCCCCGGGACAAAACCAGCACCAATCCCCTGGATCTTGTGAGGACCTTTAATACATCAAATAGAAAAGCACTTCAAATATTATTGTTAAAATGTCAAAAGTATGCAAATCTCATCTTGTAGATACTCTACGACCAACAATGGATCATAAGAGTGGAGTGGTTAGAAGAAATAGAGAAAATTTCTCAATTGAGAAAACTCACCAGGCTTTCCTCCACTGAGAACAGGACTCTCAACAGGTTCAACTCCATACACCTAAAACAGAAATGAAGAGGAAATCAAACCAACAAAAGAATATGAAGTTCTTTCTATGCACTGGAGAATATAACTTTTATTACTGGGGGTGAGGGTTGGGGAATTGGAGGTTAAAACTGAAGGAAAATGTAGAGGAAAATAAAAAGTAGGCTAGAACTCAATAAATATATCCCCCCATTTTTTCTTCTTCTTCTTTCCTTCTTCCACCGCCACCACTGTTTTTTCATTCTTCTTCTTCTTTCTCCCCTTTCAATAATAATAATAATAAAATGGGTCTAAGTTTAAAAAACTAAAATTATAAAATTATAACTTAGCCCCTGGTGATTGTTGGTGACTTGGAAACCTGCTAATAGACTTTTGGTGAAAGAAAGTTAAAGTTCGTGTATTTTTGTGAGAGAAAAAAAGTTTGTATATCGAAGTGAAATCACGCCAAAAGTTTGTTTACCACTAGTGAAATTTATCCTTTATTTCACATATTTGTAGTACTTGGTTTATTTATGTCCATCATATAGAGTAAAAACTATGAAATCTATATATAGGTACAGTTTTAAGAATAAATCTATACTAGTATTTTTTTCTTCAACATTTTTCAATATGGAACCAAACACTAGAAAATGATATTTCTTGAGGGCCAGTTTGGGAGTTGGGTATTGTAAGGGATTGGATGGTGGAATTTTGGGGGCTGTGTATACCCAAACATACCCTGTGTGTTTCTTTATTTTCCTAGCATTTTCCAGGATCCAAACACACCCTACAAGTTGAATCTTACCTTTATATTAGCATTTTGCTCCCTAAGGAACTTCCCAACTCCAGTAATAGTGCCTCCAGTACCAATTCCAGAGACGAAAGCATCAACTTTACCATTTGACCCTTTCCAGATTTCAGGCCCAGTTGTTTCATAATGTATCTGAAGTACACGAAAAAGATGCGATTATATAATTCTACCAGCACATTCATACAGCTTCTAAGTTAAAAGCAACAAACCTTTGGGTTGGCAGGGTTTTCAAATTGTTGAAGAATGTAGGAATTGGGTGTTTTGGCATGAATCTCTTCAGCCTTTTGAATGGAACCTTTCATTCCCTTAACAGGGTCAGTGAGAACCAGCTCAGCCCCAAAACCACGGAGAAGAATTCTTCTTTCCAGGCTCATGGAAGCCGGCATGGTAATGATAAGTTTGTAGCCCTTCGCTGCAGCCATGAATGCCAAGCCAATGCCAGTGTTTCCACTTGTAGGTTCAATTAAGGTACTCTTCAAAAAAGGACAATGCCATTGAGCAATAAAGCCAAATTGAATAAGCTTTAAAAAACTAAAGGTCAGCTTAGAACATCGGATAAAAGGTTTTGGAGGGAAAGCCTTTGAAAAAGTTAGTTCATAATTTTATATCTTCAATAAATAAAATGTTTCTAAAAAAAAATGAATGGTGATTAAAGTGTTGCCTAGCCTTTAATTTGGTTCACACACTACACTGTGTGTGTGTGTGTGGCCTTCCAAAACCGCCCCTTCAATACTCTGTATCCAAACTAGCCCTAAGGAACATAAAGTAATGAGACATCAATCACTCACCTCCCCTGGTTTAATGAGGCCTTTCTCCTCAGCATCAGTAATCATACTATAGCCAATCCTACACAAAACATGAAACGCCATTTAAGCATCAAAGAGTATCAAACAAAAAGAAAACCAACACTAACAAGAAAATTTTGCAATAATCAACTTGGGCACCGTTTTGAATTGTATGTGGTTTCCGAATCACCCCCATTCCCCACGGTAATAAGGTCATTGCAACCATGACTTCAACTAATTCTTGATATTACAGATTCCAACAACCCAATCCAGTTCTAGTAATTGAATTCAAACGGCCAAATAAATCTTTAGGAGCTTAAACCAAAGCACTCACCTGTCCTTAACACTAGAACATGGCTCCATCATTTCCAGCTTGGCAGCAACACGAGCAACGCACCCATCAACAACTTTGTTCAGGTAAACCAATGGAGTTTTACCAATCAACTGCAGATACAGAGTTTAGAAATGCAACACTATATACTCACCCGAGGGAATGATCCATATGAATGTGTGTGTACAATCTTAAATGCAGGAACTATGTGAAACCAATCTCTGATGAACAATAAAGAGCACCAAGGGACATAAAACTCACTTCGGTAACATCCTTTGCGATCCCGGTCTTCTCTTCTCCCATCCTTTCAGATTTAATCTGCAAATAAAGCGTTAAGAAACTAAACAAGCGCAGGTCAAACAATTGAAATCGCAAGCAGACGCTAAACCTGGGAGATCGCGTGGAGGATCCGATTAGGGCGTCGGAGTTGTGATTCCGATGAAGTCAATCAGTCGATGATGGGATTTTGGGGTTTCTTTTTCTCTGCAGAAGGTGGAGATAGACGAACGAGGCGACTAAACGCAAGAGATGTATTTTCAAAGGGATATGATAGGGTACACCAAATATGTATGCCAAATTTACACCACCCTACCTCTTTACCCTTCATTTTATTTTATTTTTATTTTTACTTTTTTTTGAATTTTTCTTGCCTTTTTTGTGTGGTGATGGAGGGGGTGGGGATGTTTGGGGTACACTTGTGGTGTACCCCTAGCATTTTCCATTTTCAAAACATACAGGCTGCTGGTGCCTGTGACACTTGTCAAGATAAGAGTGGCTGGGTGACACCCAACTTTAATTCGTGACAAATATGCTCGGATTGCTTATGCTAAGTTTGTAGTACCATTAGTATGCCACCACATAGGTGTACTCATGCTTCGCACAGATAAACATAAACAATAATTGTCTGTGCGATACAGACAATTATCGTCTGTGTTTATCTGTGCGAAGCATGGGTGCACCCATGGTAGCACCCATGTGGTGGCACCCTAGCATTTTCTGTAATATGCCTTCTACAAATGTTGTGAAGCAGCGTTAACAATATCATGAACGAAGAAACAAATTAACGACTTGATAGTTTTAACGAATCGCGTAAACGCTTTCCGATCAAAGTTGTTTCGAAATATACCAAAATACGTTTATCGAATCAGACGTTAATCAAGAATGGACCCTTCGAAAATCTGTATCTCAAGCATACCTGCGAATCCCTATTTATAGAGTCGAAAATCCATGATCAGACATGAACGTTAGCGTAAAGATGCAAACGTTCGCGTGAAGAGATTTCATGAACGTTTGCTTAAGGAGGCAAACGTTCGCGCGAATAGATTCTTGCGATTTAGGGCCAATTTAGCGTTTACCCATACGTCCAAATCTTTTAACATTTTGAACTCCGTTCACAAAAATCAGAAGGATTTTCAATAAGCAATAATACCCTGCCAAAATAAAAAGATTTCCCAGTGACCCCGGCCAGGGGCGCTGTGAATTTGTAATATCGTTGAACGAGTGTGTACTCCGCACTTCTTAACTTGTTGTGACAACGTCTATTCAAATATTTTAAATTAAACCAACTACACAAAATAGCTGATGATACTAAAATCACCAAGAAATATTAAGTGCAAACTCCACTTTTGTCACTAATTTGTAATTAAATTCAAATTTATCTCTTTTAGATAATTGTCTAACTTGTTTAACTGGATCCTCAACAAGAGATCAATCCTTTAAAACATACAAAGTAATAGTTCACATTTTCCACGATTTAAGGAGGGATTCCGTTGCCATGGGCAATGGTGCCACTATGTTGCCATTGGGCGCTCCAATCACAAGGTTGATGGTTCCATACTCCTCGTAAATCCTAGCCGGCTTCAACTCACCCCTATCCTCATCAATTAGACTCCTCAAGTTTAAAGTAAAAAATTTTACCCCAAGGTCAACTAATTTTGGGGAGTCCACTTGACGGGACTAGGAGATTGTTCGGATCAAGCTCGGGTGGAGGTTTAGCGGGAGTTAGGAATTAAGAACCATCAATTTTTCAAACATAGCATCCGAGGTGCACCAAAAAGTCATTGGTACTAGAGTGGCATCGTTGTCATAATTCTAAGTTTCACCCCTCTTTTTCCAAAATATTACCTCTCTAGTCCCAAAAGTGACCTTCTGTTTCTTTCTTGAAATTTGTGTGGAGAAATATGTTGTTCGTGGGTCTAAGGCCACACGAAGTGGGTTCGGGATTGCTTTCGGCATTTGAGGTGGAGGCCAGTCCTGACGAGAAACACGCCCCCCATTCAATGTCTGGCGTATGAGGCATGCAAACACATCTATTGATCCCTTTTTCCTCTCCATCTCTCTTTTTTTTCTTTTTAATTTCTCTATGGGTCAGGAAAGTCCCCCATCCACACCATATTCCCCTTCTTCCTTTCTCCCTCTCTCTTGCGTGACTTTGGAGGCTGGCATGACCGTTGGTACCTATGAAACCACACTGTGCGGCCTAAAAAGATTAGGAATTGAATTTCGATTTGTCCCATTCAAAAATGAATCAAAATTATTTTTTCATATGGATTGAGACAAAAAAATGCGAGATAACTCGAACTGAATCAAACCAAATCAAACCAAACCTGTATTAGACAAAAACAAATTATATTCGAACTGAATTATAATCGAAACGAATGAAATCCAAGGTCAATCAAGTCTTAGCCAAATCTCAAATGAGTAATTAATTAATCATGTATGGAGTATATCTTTTGGTAAAAAAAATTTGAAAATGTGATTTTTTTTCTAATTTATTTGAAAAAAATATGTATAATAAGGAGCTCCACGACCCCAGGTGCGACAAAACATATGGTGTCAAAGCCAAATACTATAAACACGTGTTAGTTGTCAAGGCATGTTCTCTCGTGTATGGTCATTTACCTGAAACAGCTTTTAACGTCGTCTAACCCGCCATGAAAACACCAGTCCACAAGAGGAGAAATCCATGTTAAAATACCCATTCGGCCAAAGACCAAAGTGTCAACCGGTTCGAGATATTCCTTCCAACGGGGGTTCATCACAAAACTCACGAGTACTTTTTTTAACAAAAACTCCAAAAAATATTTGCTCTTTTCGTCTTTACGAGCATTTTTTTTTAGAACTTTGTTGTGCCATTATCCCTTTCTGAATCAACATGTCCTATCTCTGCATGCCAGGGGTTGTTAATAAGTTCCCCCACTTTTGTTGTAGGACAAGTATTAGGTACATTCTACAACACGACAACTCTTATGTTGCATGTTTATTATCAAGTGGGGGTAGTCTTACACCAAATTGTGTAAGATTACATTTTCTCATATTATTAATCAATAATCAATCTAGCCGTGTAGAATGCTTAAGCACAAAAATTGCAACAGTGACCAATAAAGAAACCAAGGAGAGAGGACTAAAGCCATTTGTTAAGCATATTTCTAAAAGTTAATGTTTCACAAACAGCCTAGCTAATACTGATAAGTTTAATCAGCAATTATCACAAGTACAGCCTGCAGATAATAAGTTTTTAAAATTAAGGAAAGGATTAACACACAGATAAAGCTACAGTTCAGGAGAGATCAGTGATCACATATCACTTCAGAGAAGAAGAAGAAGGAATCCAGTTCCGGTCGTCATCGTCGTCATCTTCATCAGTTTGTCACCATGTTTCTTGAGAGAGCAGCCAGTCAGTAGTAAGCTTGCTGGTAAGCAGGTGGTGGTGTCATTCCATTGCCATAGCTTCCATATGGGGAGTAAGGACTGCCCATAAGAGGGGCAGCTTCAGGGGAGTAACAGTAAGAGGGGCTCAAGCTTCCATGCCCATATATTGGGGACGGAGGGTATGCGGGGTACTGGGTGGTGTGTGAGGGGGGTGACCTCACGAACGTAGGAGGGGTTGGCGGGAAAGAGGAGACGTACGCATTGCTTGAGCGCCCGGCCTTAGCGGGGGGCATGGGCCCACCCCCGTTGCTGACCCTCGTACGCTTGGCGGCAGGGGCCGCCGCTGCAGCTGGCTTCTTCTTCTCGCTCTTCGTCTTCTCCAGCTGCTCAAGACGCTTCTTGAGAGTTTCTGGCGGGAATTCGGATTCGAGCTTGTATTCTTCAATGCACTTGAGAACAGCACGGATCGCCGATAGCTCCTTCTTTGCAGATAGTTGCTGTAAATATTGGCAAAAAAAAACTAAATTAGAGAAGTGAAATAAAAAAAGGAGAATTAGTACTCATTCCACCCTTCAATAAACTTCACTTTTTCCTCTGAGGTTCAATCCCAAATCCCAGATACATTTCATTTTCTCTTTCAAGGAAATGAGTACAGTACTACAGTAAATATTTCTCTTCCCTTTTATATGAATAATGCTGAAGTCACAAACAAAACATTCACAAAATGCACAAACTTACCAAATATGATAAATAGTAGTTCCAAATAATGGTTTGAAAAAATTAAAAAATAAAAACTTAAATTCACAAATGGTAAGTTTGTGCATTTTGGGAGGGTTTTGTTTGTGACTCTAGCATTACTCCTTTTTTATATAAATTTCAACACCATGATCTCAACTAACTGTGTAGGCGTGCAAAAGCAATTGTAAAGTTTATTTAGGAAGAAAGAGAGTACTATTTTTTATCAACATTGCAGGTTTAACAATATTGCAGGTTTGATGGAATAAAGCAAAATTGCTCTTTAAACAGTCGGTGCTTCTATTATTGTGACGTAGCAGTTAGTCAATTCAGCTCTCGTCATGGGTCATCCGGAAATAGTCGCTCTATGTTTAAAACATAGGGGTCAGGCTGCATACATCTCACTCCCTCCCCCCCCTACCTAACACTGGGCGGGAACCTTTCAGGCACTGGAGTAATGTTGTCTTCTGTTTGTAGGTTTAACACTTCTGACACAACTTCAAAATCTATAAGCTTTGACCCCCCCCCCCCCCCC